CCTCATCCGCCCACCTCCCATCCAGGCTTCAGGCCAGGGCCTATGCCTATTGGCTCCACACTGGCCATGGCTTGAGTGAGATGACTGGGCCACCCTCCTGGCTGGCTGGGGACTTTCTGACTCATGGACATTTCCTGTCAACTTGGGAGCAGGGAGCCTGTATCATCCTTCCAAAAACTCTGTAAAATCCGGGCCTCCTACTTTTCACCTTCCTAGACCCCATCGGTCCTCAGCCTCTCCCCTCTCCAGCCAGAATGCTGCCTGCCGCCTCTCGCCCTGAGTCTGTGCGCCTTGTCTTCTGCACTCCAGTTTTTTTCTGGGCTTCACACCGCAGTGTTTTGGCTCTCCTGGTTTTTCTCCATTTAGATCTCCATCAGGACTTCGCTCTCTCCCATGTGTTATATTAATCTCTGTCCTTTGAGTTGGGCCTCTGTATATCTATTTCTCAGACTGTTTCTGCTCCTTGGTCTTCGGGTGTATCACAATCCCAGGTTCCCAGTGCCCCAACTTGCCCCAGCGGTCGTCTGAGGGCATGGTGGTGCTGGCACTCAAGGGGGGACAGTCAGATAAGATGGGGCTGTGAGATACCCAGAGACATCTAAGTGAGAAGGACCAGTGGCACAGAGACCAGCTGTGTGGGGGGATATCACGTAGAGGTGCCCCGGTGTCTCCCCCACCCAGTCCTGGGGACTCCTGCTCTCTTGCCAGACACTAAAGCACACCCAGTCATCGGTTCCTAGGGCGGATTTGCTGATTTGAGACTATTTCTGGGAAGATAGGTCTGCTAACCTTTGCTGGTAATGGGAATGGTCTAGAAAGGAAACTGACACTCCCAGGCGCCCTTCTTCCTGTGAAAGTTTTTGGCTCTTCTCACCCCTCCTGGCCCACCCCACTCATACACCTGCCCTGGAGTCTCCATCCCAAGCGTGTAAGTGGGGCTCTCCTCTTTGCTTTCCTCCTCTCTGTCTGCTCTCTGGGAAAGCCGAGTGTCCTTCACTACCCTTGGGGTGCCTAACTTGGGAACCAGGGCTCTCTCCTTGGTCCTGGCCCCTCAGAACCGGGAGCCTCTCCAAAATTAGTTTTGGTTTTAAACTCAGCTTCCTTATCTTGCAGATGAGGAGACTGTGGCCCAATGACTTGCCTAAGACTACATGGCTAGTCGGTGACAGAGGTGGCATCAGAACCTGGTCTTTAGACTCTCGGCCCATGGGTCTCTCCAGGTCCCAAGATGGCCTCTCTTCTGTGCCTTGTGGGAAGACCCCAGATTGAGGCTGGGGCTGCCTCAGGGTTTAGTCCACAGGGGCACGGGGCTTTCCTTCTTCTCCTTCACCCAGTGCCCTGAGAGGCTCTCTGACTGCTCATACCTGAACATGGGGGCTGGCAGATCGACCCACCCTTGCTCTGCTAGAAGGCACAGGGACCCCAGGTATCTGCCCACCAGCTGTTGCCCATGGCTCCAAGCCAGGAAGGGAGTGAAGCTGAAAGCTCTCAGCTTCCACCTCCACTGTCTGATCCCTCTCATCAGATACGTGATTGAACCTGGGGACACACACTCTCACGGCACCCTGGCTGGATTCCACTTTGTCCTCATGTCCCTGGGCTGGGCAGAAAGCATGGTGGCTTTGAGGTCTGGATGCTGGGCTTCTGACCCCTTCTGCCAACTCACCTCACCTGACGCTCACCGTCCTGCTGCTCCAGGGCACAGCAACTCCTCTGGCCTCCTTTCCACCCCACTCACGGCTCATAGGCAGGTTGAAGGCACAAAGGGCAACACCGCAGTGGGAGCCGGGAGAGTGCGTTCAGGGAGCCTGCTAATCATCAGCCTCCATCTACTACAGCTGTGTGATCTGGAGTGAAGCACTTGGCCTCTCTGGGTCTCAGTCTCTCTCTAAAGTGAGGGGGGCAGGGCACCTCAGGTACTCTTGAAGATCCTTTCCAGCGCTCATGACAAAGAAGTCCCTTTACTGTCGCTGCCCTAAGAGAACTAACTGCCTGGGGAGCCAGACTCCCCAACTACTCCACCAATCTCCCAACAGACCTTGGCCTTGGCCGGGACACACCCTGCCCGGGGAGAGCACTCAGCTTTGCTCACTTTGTTCCCAAGACACCCCTCCTTTCCAGAAGGCCTGGGGATGACTATGGGATCCAGGCTTCCCCCGCTCCCAGGGAGCCCCATTCACTTACTTCTCATGGCTGAACTGCGGCCTTTGCCACCTGGGCTCACTGTCCTTCTCAGCAGGGGGTGGTCCAGAGATGGGGCGCAGCTGGCAGCAGGGTTGGGGGGCGAGGCCTCTCAGCAGAGCCTCAGCTTGTAGCTCTGCACCCAGCTCTCCCCCTATGCTTCTGGGCAGGGGGGTTTAAGCTAGCACCACACAGGTGGCCAAGTGACAACCCCCCCAACCCTGCCACCCCCCACCCCTCCCTGGGGTGCAGCGGGTAGGATGACAGGCGCCCCATGTGGCCAATCTGGGCCTGGAGCAGGGTGTGAGGGGCGGGGCAGCCAATCACAGGGGGCGTTGGAAAATTCCAAAACCACATGCGACAGCCACACGCGGTAAAAGCTGTTTCCACCTGACAGGGTAGCTCTGGCTGGGGAGCCAGAATGGAGCCCACACGAGCCTGGGGCCAGTTTTCTACTCCCCCTCCCTTTGAGGACCCCCAATCCTGACCCTCTTTGCCAGGTGACTCCAGGGACAGGGATGTTTCTAGAGGTAAGTCACAGGATGACTGCCTGGGGTAGTGGCGTGTCCCACCTGAGACCCTGTGGCCTGCCAACAGCCGTGCCCACTGAGGCGCAGCCTGGGAGGCTGCCCCCCACTCACCATGCTCGCACCCTCCCTACAGACATGATGTGTGCCCAGGGCTGGGGAATACATTTTAACAGTAGCAGTGATAATCAGATGAATGCCCGCTCTCTGCAGGAGGGGTTAGTCCCTGAGAAACTTCCTCAGGAGCAAAACTGTTGAAATGAGAATGATGATAATGATAACGATGATACTTACTATGTGCCAGAAATGATTTTTAATGTTTTATGTGGATTATATAATCCTCATAAAATACTTTATGAGGTAAGTACTATTATTCCCAGATAATAAAAGATGAGGAAAGTGAGACATAGAGAGGGTAAGTAACTTGCCCCAGGTCACACAGCTAGTAAGTGGTAAAGTCAGGATTCAAATTCAGGCAGTTTGGCCCCAGATCCCACTTGAGAAATGGGATGGTGTCTCTGGTTCAATTCTGCTCTTGCGGGTGTCTCAGCTTGGGAGGGCTCCTTGTGTGGGAGTCTCTGCATAGAGTGTTTTGGCCTGGGGTTTTTCTGAGGGGCCAATCAACTTTAGAGGCCCTCTCAGCCTCATATCTGCTATATGGGGTGCTTCAGCCCGGGGGGTTCCCTCCTCAGGGCTCCTCAGTGATCTGGCGGCCCCTTCTGGGTTTCTCCCTTCTTGGGGTTGTCTCAATTTGGAGCCCATTTTTCAGGGAGTCTCCGCCTGGAGGAGGTGTCAACTTTTCCTGGCTTCTCTCCATCAAATCCCCTAAGAGGTCTCTGATATCGCCAAAACTCCAGTAGCCCCTCAGCCTGGTACAGGCCTTTCCCTGCTGGCCTTCCTCTGCTTTCAGGACCTGGCGGTGGATCTGGTGAAGGGCTGCCAGCCTGGGTGTTCGGGGGGATACTCATGGGGTGAGGGTTGCACGGGGCCAGTGGGTAGGGAAGACCAGAAGGGGGTGTGGCCCTGGCCGAGGTTTCTGTGGTAAGGGGTAAAGGGTAGGAATGGAGTTTAGCCTCTTCCAGTTCTAACTGCTCCAAAACTCCCCCTTCACCCCCCACCCACATATGGTCCCTAGCTCCCCTCCCCCGAGCTCACACGTCACTCCTTGACCCGTTTTCCTCCCAGGGCCCTGCTCAGCATTTCCGTGGGGCCCTGTGGCTAGGGGCAGGCGAGGCACTGATCAGGATTGTGCTGAGCAAAGCAAGCCCCCACCCAGGAGGATGTAGCATCCTGGACGGCCCCAGCCCCTGTCTGTCCAGCCCAGGCAGAGTGCGACGCTGCTGCCCTCCGTGGTTCTTCTGCCTGGAACAGGGAAGTTCTAGGCAGTTTGGCAGCAGAAGGGGCGGGAGCGAGCCCTCAGGAGAAACTGGTAGGCCATTCAAGGGAGGGCCAGGGAGGTAGTGTCTCCTGCCCCAGAGTTGTCCTCATCAAGTCAGGGACCCCTGCTCATGGAGGCTTTCCCCTGAGTGTCCTCCAGCTGTTAAGGGTGCGCATGGCTCTGATGGGATATAAGCTATGGGACTGAGGTAGAAGTGGGTACATTTTCCAGGGGAGCAGCTTCTCCCACAAACCAGGAGGATAGATCTGATGTGTTGAGAGGTCCCCAGAGAGGATGCTTACTCTCAGGTATCCATTGGGAAGTCCTTCCTGAGCTCTAGCCCCTTCTCACATGCTGTTGCCTCAGTCTTCCAGGGCCCAGGGTGTCCCTTTCGGTTCCGTTTTCTACCGAGAGGAAGGCTTTCCTGCTCTCCAGCCCTGCACAGCCTGGCTCCAGGTTTGTTCACACCTCAGTATGCGTTAACCACAGAGATGAACACCAAACCTGGCTCCGCTGCCTCAAAGCCTGGTGCAGCCACCCTGCCTCCCTGCCCTAACCCCCTCCCTCTCCTGTGTCTCTGTCCAGCATCTCTCCCGCCTTTTCCCACAGCTCCCTTTTAATTGGTCTCCTCGTTTCTTTGCCATGTTCCCTCTCTTCAGGCTTCTTCCTTATCTCCTCCCATTGCCCTGATCCTGAGGTTCCTTTACCCTTCCCCCTCCTTTCCTCATCTCCCCATCTCCCCATCTCCCCTGCTTTTGCGGGCCCCACCTCTCTTCAGGCTGGGCCACCCCTGCATGGCTCCTCCAACTCTGCGTCGTCTGCATACCTTTATGAGAACCTCCCACAGCCCTTGCTGGATTCTGTGCCATCTCTCCACACCCCAACACCAGTCCTTTCCCCAGTCGTCTACTCACAGGTGTGGGTCTTCCTTGCAGCCAGCAGCTCTGTGAAGAGAAGAGAGGGGTCAGGGCCAGCAGTTTCAGACCACAGGAACCGAGAGGCACTCCCCCCACTCACAGGCCCCCGTGCCCACCCCACTCCTTCCCAGTGGAACCTGGCGTCTGACGAGAAGGTGAGACCATCCTGCACAGCACTTCCTCTTCTTCCCTCTCTGCCTTCCAGTCATACCGGCCCCCTCCCAGGTCCCCAGGAGTACCGACTCTGGGACTGCCCAAGCTGGTCCTTCTGTCCGGAATGCCTTTCCCTCACACCCCTCAGTCTAGCCAGCTCCCCCTCAGCCCTCACGTCTCCCACTCCATCTCCTCCGTGGAGGAGCTGTGCATGCCCCTCTCCCTGCCCTGGTGCGTACACACTCAGCACCTTGCGGTTGATTTCCTGGCACTTGCTGCATCACCTAACTGATAGAATTGTGTCATTACCCGTGAACTGGGGCTTTTCTGCTAGACGGTAAGCCCTATGGGGAGGCAGGGATTGTGTTCACCCTGTTCTTCCCAGAGCCTTCCACAGGCCTGGAGGGTTAGAGGTACATAGTCAGTATTCTGCAGCCAGTGGTAAATCTCTGTGGGCATTAAACCTCGCAGTTGTTTATTTGTGCCTGAAAGCACCTGGGAATCCCAGAGGTGTGGGGGTTGAGAGTAGCTTGGCGAAGACGTTTGGAGGAAGAGGACCGGAGAGCTGCAAGGACAGAGCCCACTCTGCCTTCCACAGGCCCTGGCTCCTCCACACGCCAGGCTGCGCAGGAAGGACTCCCTTCCCACCCGCTGTGCGGCATCTGTCCGGGCGCGCCGGAAGCAGGGAGCGCAGCCAGGTTGATTTGGGGTGAGCAGGGAGGCAGAGACCTCCAGAGGGCCTGCTGCTGAGGGGAAAGCCTTAGCTAGAGCATCACTGAGGGTGTCCACTCACTGGGTTAGCACTTATTAAATACCTACCAAAGGAGCCTCTGAAGGTGCTTCCCCTCCAGGCCTGGCCCGTTTCCTGCATCCACACAGCAGCCCCTCACAGGGTACTGGCCAGTCTTTTGTCCCAGAAAACCCTGCAGCCCTTCCTTAGGCGCCCTATAGTTTCCCTAACCTCTAAATGTGCTCTTCTGTTATTTTCCTCCTTCTGCTGTCCAATCCTGGACACCGCCCTCCCCCAGGCCCCCCACGGTCCCTCTGGCAGGCTTCCCCCGCTGGGTCGAGTGGACTCGAAGGCCTGGCCTCTGCTGGGGTGGGGGTGGGAGCGGTCCCATCCGGCCCCTCCCGCCTACCCCGCTGATCCTGCCTAGCCCCACCCAGCTTCCTCTCTGACGTGGCGCCTTGGCACTGCTCTCTGGCCTCCAGTCTTGCACCTCAGAGCGGTCCTGGGGTGGGGGTGCCACCCTGCATGCCTGGCAGTGGCGTTCTTCCTCCACCAGGGGGCCCGGGAGCTGGGCAGCCTGGCACAGGGTTTCTCCCCAGTGCTCATAGCTGACCAAGCATGTGGCGGAGGGATCTGCTCTAAGAGGGTCTCTGAGACCGCTGGAGCGGCCAAGGACTACCTGACTGTGTCCCGCACCTCTCTGGGCTAGATACCCCACACTCTCTGCAGAAATGAAACCCCGCGCCCCCACACCAGTGGGCATGGGCAACGTTCTTCCTCCCCCCAGCCATGCCTGTCATCCTCATAGGCGGGACAGGTTTCTTCACTGGTGAATGAGCAGAACTGCAGTGGCCACCTTTCCAGCCGTTGCTCCCCGGTCCTAGACAGCGGAGCCAGTACAGCAGTGTCCCAACTGCTCCCAGGGGGGCGCTGACACTTGGGGGGCCTGCCCACACTCTAATCCTACTTTCCATCTAGCTTCCCTGCCTATGCCCCTGTCTCCTCTGCACACCCTACTTGTCTCCTCCTTCCCCACGTCTCCCTTTCTTTTCCCTCCATGTATTTCCCATCCCCCCTCCCCGTTTCTCATTTCTCCTCCTCTGTCACGTCCCCAGCCCTTCCTTCCGCTTCTATCAAGACTTGTCCTGTCTTACCTGTCTGCGTTCCCCTGACAATCCATTTCACTTCTTCTCTCTTCTCTTGTTCCTCCTCCCTTCCTCACTTCTTGACCAGTCCCATCTCTCCCTCCCCTCTAAACCTCCCAGCAGCCCCTTGCACCTGCCTGCAGGGTGTAGGGCCTCTTACCCCTCGTGGCTCGGTGGTGTCTCTGTGGGGCCCTGTCCATGGGGCAACTCCCTGGGTGCCGTCCTTGCTGCCCTGGCTGCCCAGGAGGGCAGGGAGCAGGGCCCAAGGGAGGGGGAGGGCGGAGGCAGGGAGCACCTGGCCCGTCAGCAGGCAGGGGAAAGGAGTGGCTGGCAGAGCGACCTGGCACCAGGAGGGGACAAGGGGAGGGACCAAAGGAATAGACTTTGGAGCCTCGAGGAACAACAGGACAGGTGAAGGGAAGGGAAGGGGACTAGCATTTACTGATTACCTACTGTGTGCTAGGCCCTTTGCCATGCACTTTATGTAAATGCATGATTTTCTTCAATCCTCACAACACCCACCAAGAGGCAAACATAATTATTCCAGATTTACCCATAAGCTAAGTGATGCTCAAAGGTATTAACGACTTACACACTTGCAAAAGGACAATGAGTGGTTGAGCCCCATTTTGAACTCAGGTCTTTATGAGTTCAAAATCACATGCTTTCTCCCTGATAGATGACAGGAGATAGGAATATGGGAGGGAAAGGTGAGTGTATCTGGGAGGGATTGTGCCTCTTCTCCAGGATGAGATCAGACATCCCAGTGGTCCCTTGGTTCCTTGAGGCCTCTGCCAGCTTAGCCCCATTCCCTCACTGCCCTTCCTTAGAATTCCCTGACTCCTTGATGCCTCTGCGTTCTCCTGGACTGTTGGGGCCTGGGGCCAGCCTGGGGGAGTGTGTGCAGGCAGAGGAACGAGGGCAGGGGAGTGGAGAAGAGAGGTGCTGCACTTCACTGGATGGGGGGAGAAGATTCCCCCAGGCTGAGCGGGCCCACACTGGGGCCTGCACCGAAGAAGGACCTGTGGAGGGGGAGGGCGCAGGATGAGGCCACGGCAACTCCCGAGTGCCACTGCTCTCCTGCACAGCCTTGGCCCAGAGTTTGATTAGCTGGGCCTGGCTCTCCTCCTCACCCACCGGGCCAGCTGGCTGGGGGCCAGCCTGCAGTGGGGAGGCTCCCTGGCACCTCCTCCTGCTTTCCCTCCCAGCCGGTAAACAGCAGAGCAAGAGCCGGCCACGCCACAGCCTCGTGACCTTCCCACTCCCCCCGACCTGGTGCACGTGGCACCTGGCATGGAGAGGGCAGGCAGCTGTCCCTTCCCTCTGGGCCCTCCCATCTTGCCACCATCTACTCCTGCCCGGCCCTGGAGCTTCACACGCTGCTGCCATCAGCAGCTCTGTTCCTGGGTAGCTCCCGGAGTCTCCCAATGGCTGCACATTGAGGGACAAAGGTTAGAAGTAGAGGAGGACTTTCCAGCGGCCCAAATGGTTGACAAAGGAGATGGGGAGTGAGGAAGAGTGGGGTGGAAACTTTTGGGGACCGTCTCATATGGAGACTCTGAGGGTGTGTGTTTGTACGTCTGAGCTTCTGACTATCCTCGTGTCCTTTTGGTAAATGTGTGGCCCACGCATCTGTGCGCACTTCTCTGCACAGAACAGGATGTTGGTCTGTTTTGGGGCTCTGTCCTTGGGCAGGCTTGAAATAAGAAGCAAAGCTCTCCAAAATACCACCCCACCCAGCACCCTCTGACAGAGGAGTAGAGCTAGCAGAAGGCAGGGGGACAGGGTGCTGGGCCATGCCGACCTGCTCTCCCTTCCCTTTGGGGACTGGATTTGCTTCCACTCAGTATTCTCTGTCTCTCTCTGCAGCCTTTCCCCATCTATGGCTCTTCTGTTTTCTGTGCTCTCCAACTCTTCTTTCTCTTTTCCTCTTTAAGCCCCTCTTCCTCTGTGACTCTGGGTCCTAGGCCCTTCCTGACCTCCCAGTCATGGACACAGAGTGAGACCATGCAGGGTGCCTGGGGATGGGCACTGGGCTGTGGCACCGTGCCAAGGGAGCCCTGCCTGCCCCAGATACCACAGGTATGGCGGCCTCTCCCAGCTGTGCCACTTCGTACCACTGTGTGGGATGGGGAGGAAGTGAGGGGGTGGGGCAGGGGGTTGGAAGACAGGGTCCCAGCCTCTAGGCCTAGGTGAGTCACATGCTTCTTAGATATTCTCCTGTCTACCCCTTTTCTTCCCTAAGCATGGATGACTCAGGCTCTTTCTCCCCAGGGCAAGAAGGCACCTTGGTCATCCTTTTGGGAAGTTCCCCCTCATGCCTAACCTTCCTCTGTTCTGCTCCAATCACAGCCCCTTTTCTGCATGAATCAGTCCTTTCAAAGCAGGGTGTTTCCTTTTCAAATACATTTTTGTATTCTTATGCAAGGAGGAGGCTGATAGGGATCGAGAGAATCATTTTACCCCCCACGTGCCCAAGTTCCTTTATCAGCCTGGGGCATCTCAAAGCAGGGGGCAGGCAGCCGGGAGGGGGTGGAGGGTGGTGGTGGTGGCTTGGAACTGGGGAGCAGTCACCAACTTGTCTTTCCCTTCCTCCCCACCCCCTAAACCACAGAAACCACTTAGAGTTCAGTGCAAGCCTGTCCTTCTAGGGAGGGCCTGGGGCTGTGAAGGGGAAACATATGTGGGTCCTGGACAGCCTGCGTGCCATATTGCCCCAGTGTCATCCTTGGAGGGCCACCCCCTCTGGGAAGCCTCATCCTGTGATTAGGGACCAGCTTTCTTTGGGTCCTCTCTGGGAGGTCCATGCCTGGGGAGACCTCAACCTGCTGGAGTGACTCAAGGAGGGGGCAGTACCCTCTTCCCCCTCATCCATTAGAAAAGGACAACTCTCTCTCCATGAACATCTATAGATCTACAGCTTCCACTCCTCCCCCTTCCTGTCACAAAGGCCACTGTGGGTGGAGGGAACACCTGGAGTTTGACCCTGTCTCCTGGCCCTGAACCTCAAGAAGGGTTGAAAAGCAGGAGCTCTAATTTGGGAGCCAAAAGGCTTGGATAAGAATGTGTCCTGCCACTTACCACTTACTAGTCTTCAATTACAAAAGGGGTCTGACTGATGTTTGTGAAAGTGCTTGTACTTGGAGGCCAGCACATTCTATGCACAGGAGGTGTTCTAAGGACCTTATCGGCCCCAGGCGTTATCTGTGGCGTCAGCTAGCCAGGAAGTTCCTCCAGGAACACTGTGGCCCCCATCACAGGGGGCAGTTCACAGCTGTGAATACTGAGTGAAGTGCTCCTTAACGGGGCGGACTGGAGTTCTACCTCACAGCCTCCTCTGGGTGGCGGGGGTGAGGGGTTGGGTGGGGTCTGGGGTGGAGCTACTGTCCTCAATCTTCCCTGCAGCCAGGCTGATCCCTGGGTAGGTTTACGGCCCCTCTCCGATTTAGCTCCTCAGTAAAATGGGTATACACCTACCTCACATAGTGTGTGTGGCAATTAGCTGGGGTAACACAGGTGAAATACAGGACCTGACACAAAGTACTTGGTCCCTTCTCCCCCCTATTCCTATAATCTTCCCTTCATCTCTTTATCTGACTCCCCTTTCCTATGCTTTTTTTCCCTTCATTTTTCTCTATAACATATCACCTAGTCACGTTGCTTTTACATCTAACTTATTTATTTTGTATCTTGTCTGATCCCCACATCTGATTGGATCACTGCTGTATCCCATGCCTGCTATTTTGTAGGCCCTCCTTAAGTATTTGTTGGAGAAATGCACGAACAAAGGATAAATGACTTCAACATTTCTTTCCAGCTATTTTCAAATGCTTGTTACAGAAAGATTTGGGCCTGAAGTAGAGGGAAGTACCAGAGATAGAGTTAGACTGAGGGGTGGCCTTCATAGACTGAAATGGTTGGAAGGAGGGGACCACTTTCAGAGTGACCAGGTGGGGAGGCAGCAGCTGGCACTGAGGGATAGTATAGTAAAGTGACCAAGAGCACAGACTCTGGAGTCAGACTCCAGACTCCGGGCTGGAATCCTAATTCTACTCCTCACTAGCTAAGTCCAAGGTCACATTGAACCCAGTAGCACTTAGCCCTCATGCCGGTTGCTGGGAGGAATAAATGACAAGTTGTTAAAGCAGTAGTTCTTTGCCTAGTGATAATCTTGTTGGTCAATGCTACCACCTGGTGGACACTTGGAGCAAGCCCTGTCCCTGGCCTAGTGGCCTAGTGGCCTAGGGCTAGGGTGCAAGAACATAATCACAGGAAGTAGAAGGAACTACGGGGCTGTTTGAATGGAGAGGTGTGTACCTTGTATTGGCATTACACACGCTGAGGTTTATCACGATCCAGCAGGCTCAGCCCAAATTCAGGGCCCTGTGGAAAATGAGAACGGGCCCAAGGGAGAGGGCCAAAGAAGCTGGGTTGGCCCGGTGCCTCCCTCCTTCCCTTCTACCCTCCTCCAAGCCTGGACTGAGCCAAGAGGAACCAGATCCAAGGAAGGTAGAAAGACAGAAGGTCACTGCTGACGTCAGAGACATCCAGGTGGGAGGTAAACACAACCTGACCTGCATTCGTTCATCCATCTTGCACACCCTCGGCTGGGGCGCCCTTTTCTGGCCATCCCCCAGCTCTTGCACTCCCATAGGATCCCCTCCGCTCCCAAGATCTCAGTTCCTGGGCCGTCATATCTTGGTCATTCAGCACCCAAGTGCTGCTCTGGCTCTGGCTTTGTTCCCCAAGGTGGCACAGGTGTGGCAGGGACAGAAAAGAGACAGGACACCTAAAGGCGCTCCCAAGACACAGACAGTTTCATCTTTCTTCAGGACAGATGTGGCTTGTGTAGGGAGGTGGATGGCTGAGAGGGCATTGATGTCCCCTGTGTGGCCCTGGGGAGCCCTCCTGGGAAAGTGGCTTAGGTTGGTTTTAGTCACAGAACTTTTTCTGGAGTGACTCAGTGATCCGAGGGCCTCCTGAAAGGGTGGGGGCCTTGTTGGACAGGGCTCTAGGTCCTCTCCAGCTGAGATCTACTGAAAGTAGTGTCAGGGTCTCTTGGGGAATGGAGCCCAGGACTCTGCATGTTTAACAAGCTACCTCAGGGTTTCTGATGTCTGGTTATTCGGATGCCTATTCAGGCCATCTGAATGAGCTCCTTCCATACCTGTATGGCCACAGGCAGAGGGAGGAGAATGGGATGCAGACTTGAGAGTTTGTAGGGAGCAAAAAGTGGAGACATCTCACTAGAGACAAACAGAACTATATTAGCAAAATATAAATATGTGCCAGGCAGATGTAAGGAATGGGAACTGCAGAGCCTGAGGAAGAGACAGTCTCGGTCTACAGGCTGAAATGCGCAGGTGCCAGGGAGGCCCCTGGACCTAGCCCCCCACCCAAGGGGGGCAGCAGGGCAATAAGGGGCGTCTCACACTCCCCCAGGAGCACATCCCTGCGCAACCCTGCGCCCCTTTCCAGCACCTTGGCCCTCAGACTGCGGGCGGCCAGGTCTGGCGGGCCGAGCCCGTCGAAGAAGAAGTCCTCGTTGAAGATGGGGTTGGTGCTGCATCTGACCACGCGGCTCCGCTGGCCCCGCGGCCGGACGCGCGGCCGCAGCCCTAGCACCACGAAGCAGCCGCCGCCGCTCCCGGGGCCGGCCCGCGAGCGGGGCAGACCCTCGGCGCTGACAAGGCGCAGCCGCAGTTGACCGGGCCCGGCCTGGTACTCGGCGGAGAGCCGCAGCTGCCCGCCGCGGGGCCCGAGGCGCAGCACGCTCTCCTTGGTCGGCCGCAGCTGGCAGCACAAGAAGTCCAGGTGGAAGAGCGGCGGCGGGGGTGGTTCCGCGCGGCGCGGCGTGTACGGGCTGGTGTCGGCCGAGCTCGCCTCCTCCGGGGACAGCGAGTGAGGCCTGGGCAGCCGGGCCTGGCCGGGGCCAGGCCGCGGAGAGCCGAAGGGCGACGATTCCGCCGACGAGGCCGTGTCGCTGTCGGGGGCCCAGCAGAGGCGCAGGTCCGGGGCGGAGACGTGCAGCCGGTCCCGCGCCGGGAGAAGGCTCTCAGCGGAGGCGGGCTGCGGCGAGTGGAACAGGGACTCGCGCCGGCGCGTGTGCGGGCTTTCCGGCAGGAAGGCCCAGCCTTCGCGCCCTGCCAGGTGAGGCAGCGAGCAGGCCACCCGGAGGCCGCGCCCGCCCGCCTCGCGCCCAGGTTGGGGTTCGGCGCCGCCGGAGTCCGGGAGCCGAGGTGGGATGAAGAATTGCGGGATGCGATCGGGGGTGAGGACGTTGGGGCAAGGGCGTGCGGTCGGGCCCGGGACGCGGCGTTTACGGAACAGGCTGCAGGGCGCCCACCGGGCCCCGGACTCCGCGGTCCCCACCCTGTAGCCAGCTTTCTCCAACAGCCACATGCGGTGGATGGTGGTGATGAAAGTGCGAACTCCGAGAGGCCGGAAGGTTCCCAATGCAGGATCTCAGTGGAGGTCAGGGGAGTTGGCTGGGCGAGGAGAGGAGTCCGAGGTGGGTGGGTGGATGATGCTGGAAAGTGCAGCTGGCCGTCCGCCGCCACGACCTCTCCCGGGGCCCACGGGGCGCACGGGCTCCTATTTGAACAGGAAAATCCAAGGGCGGCCAAGTCTGGGGGCTCGGGGAGAAATGGAGGGAGCCGGGGTCTAGACACATTTTCAGATGCAGGCCTCGGGACTTCGGAGTACACACTCTGTCACTGGTACTAAAGATGTCACCCACTTTAGGGTTAGAAAGCCCAACACACTCGCTAGAGTTCTAGATTCCAGTTAGGAGACTAGAGTAACACCTGCTTATCAAAAGTATGTCGTCACAAACAGGGACCCAGGTCCTGAACCCCGTTCATATACACATTCACCCTGAAGAGATACGGAGGCCCTTGGTCGGCTCACCCACCTCTCCCCCGCCCATTCCTTAGATTCGGGGTTTCCTCCAAGGTCTACTCTGGAGCCCCTTGGACCCTTCCCCCTGTCTCCCCTGCTCCCCTGGCCCTGGCTGGTATTCCCTGTCCCTCCGCCAGCTTCTCCAGGCTGAGCCATCCTTCAGCCGCAGCACCCCCCCCCCCACCCCCCAATCTGCCTCCTCCTCCTCCTCCCTCGCCTTCCCGAGTCGCTCCAGGCCAGGAGGAGACTCGCTGCACACTTAGTTGCTCCCCTGTTGCTGCCTTAGTTGCTGTGCACCCAGGGCATCCAGGGCCCATCCAAGGAGACACACCCTCCAGGGACACAATCCTACCTGCCCTGAGCCCTGAAGGTGCCGCTGCCGGCCTCTTAGCCCCACGGCAACCAGAGTCTGCGGGGCTGGACCGGCAGCCAGGCCGACCCTCCCACTCTCCACTCCTTTCTCCCTAGAAAACCACCGAGCACAAAGGCAGCATTGATTCTCTGCCACCCCCAACGGGCTCCGAGAGGCTACTGCTACCTTGAGCTCGCCTCACCGCCCCCCTCCCCCCACCCCGCGCCGCACCCCTGCGTGCCCGCTGTGCCGGCAGTCTGCCCGGGAGTCTGAGTCCACGCGGGCTCGGTCGGGCTCCCAGAGTGCAGGCCTCACCTTTGGGCCGCCGCTGGGTCTTGGCCTGTGGTCCGGAGGCGTTCAGAGCACGAGGGAGCAGCTTCCTCTCTAGCCTGCTCCCCTAGGCCAGTCTTTCTGGGAGGAGCTGGCAGGGGCCTCCGCTGCCTACGTACGACCTCTTTTCCTGGATAAACACCGCTCTGTCTCTGTGGCCATCAGCCCGGCCTTCTTAACTCCTTCCTCCAGCCAGGTTTCTAGCCAGGTTTCTAGCAGCATGCCAGCCCTGTGCTCCCGCCTCCTCTGCTGGGCCCGGCCTCCTCGGGAGCTGGAAAGAGGGCTTCAGTGAAGAGGGAGGTGGCCATCAATGTGCAGTGGCCTCCAACTCTCTCTGCTGCGCTGGCCCCACCCAGCCCTCCTAGGTGAAGCCCACAGCCATGGCCACACAAATCACATCTTCTGCAAAACTCTCCTTGCTGGAATCCCACCTTGGCCCCCATTGTCCAGTTCTGGAGCCATCTCAATAGCTTGCAGACAGAGTGACTTGCAGCGGCTAGTTCTCTGAATTACACTGGCCTAAGGAAAAGTGACCAGGCTGATGATTTCTGGACATAGAGACACTAAAGAAAGAGCTGGTTCTGTCAGTAGTCTGGGTAAAGCTTGTCTACAACATGCGCCCTCCGCTTCTTTTAGCACGAGGACGTTAAACTGTAAACATGGAAGATGTCCCCCCTTCTTTCCCCTCCCCTCCCCAAAGGCAGAGCCTAGGAAGTGCAGGCCACTGCTGACAATGAGACAGACCATCCACTGCGGGCCAGGCATACCCACCGTCCTGTAGTCTCTCAAAGGCTTCAAGCTCATTTCCTCTTTAGGACCCTTGCATAGGCTCTCTCCTCTTCTCAGACCCCTACCCCTTTGTCCTTTAGACCTGGAGGCCCTCTCTGACTCCCTGCCATCTAAATTAGGAGCTGCTGTCATAGTTTCACAGCACCCCATACTGTCCCTTTATGGCATCGATCACATTTTTTCCTGTGATTTATGTATGTGATTATTTAATATCTTACTAGACTGTAAGCATCACGAGGACAGTGCTTAGAACAAGGCAGTGTTCAGTTAGGATTTGTTGACTGAATTAATGATATTAAGTAGATTTGTACTTGAACCACTCCTTTCCTCCATTCATTGTGCTAGGTGCTGGGGATAGATAGAATGGAGAAGAGTCTACGGGAAGAGACAGTAAATGTGCAAACAACAAAGATTGTGAAATGCAGGAAATAAATAAGATCATTATTTTGACTTGTGATACTTGAGGGTTTTGAGGGAGCAAGTATTGCTTTTGTGGAGATTCATGGTGACCCTCCAGGCCCTCCATTCCTGTGGCTACTGTCTCAGCTTGGCCCTGGTGTCATGTTGGGGGCTGGCGGTCTTTGTGCAGTGCTGCAGCCAAGAACTGATGGCTTTGGCATTAGTCAGACAGGCTGAGCACCTGGGCTCTGTGACAAACTAGCTGTGCTATGTGACCTCTGGTAGGTAACTTCATCTCTCTGGGATCCACCTCACCCACCTGGAAAATGGAGAAAATATACCTGACTCTCAGAGCTGGCATGAGGATTGCATGAGATCACACGGGCATCAGTTAGGCTGACTTCCGGTTAAGTACAAGAACACAGAAACCCCAACTCAGTCTGACCTGACAATAAGGACGTTTTTGACTTCTATAATAAATCTAGAGGTAGGGTAGGATTCAGGGGAGTTTACTTCTGTGCGATCATTCATCCATTCATTCATCCATAGGTCTTTACTACCTTCTACATGCCAGGCACTATGCTGGACTCTGGAGACATGGCAGTGAGAAAACAGATAAATCTCATGGCCAGGTGAGTTTATACTTTCATGGGGGAAAGAAAGACAACAGACAAAAATCATTTATTGGGGAGAAATCAGTGTTGCTGAGAAAATTAAAGTAGAGAAGCCTCATAGGGTCAGGAGAGTACACAGTTTTCAATAGAGTGGTCAGGGCGGCCATCTTGTGAATACAACGTTTCAGTAGTGAAAAGAAGGAAGCAAGGAGGAGAATTGAGGGTAAAGCATCCTATGCAGAAAAGTTGCAAATGCAAAGGCCCTGAGGCAGAAGCAGGCCTGGAGTGTTGGAGGAGGCAAAGAGGCCAGCGTAGGTGGAATAGAATGAGTGAGGGGAAGAAGAGGTCAGACTCTGTTGGAGCTTGTAACCACTGTAACAATTTCAGCTTTTATCTGCGGTGAGCTGAGGTGTGAAGTGACGATGTGTGTTAGAAGCATTGCTCTGGTGGCTGTGTTGAGAATAGAATGAAGGGGGAGAAGGAGGTAAGTAAGGAGATCAGATAGACTTTTGAAATCTTATTTGCATGAGATGACTGGGGCATAGATAGGGTTGTAGTAGTTAGTTTCTGGATAGAGTCTAAAGATTAAGTCAATAGGATTTCCTTATCCCTATCTAAAGAGAAAGAATGATCCAAGGATTTTGGCCTGAGCAACTGGAAGCATGGAGTCGCCATTTACTGATATGGGGAAGTATTAAGAGCTCAGTTTTGGATTTATTAAATTTGAGATGCCTGTTAGACATCTAACTAGAGATGTTGAGTATACAGTTGGATATACAAATCTGGAGCTCAGAGGAAAGATCCAGACTGGAAGTATAAATGTGGGTACAAAGAGAAATGTAGATGGAATTTAAAGCCATGAAACTTGAAGTATAGGTAGCAAAGAGAAAGGATCCAGGCTGAACCCTGGGTGCTCCAACATTTAGAGGTGGAGAGGATGAGGAACCAGCTGTGTGAGATGCTGTGGCAAGTCTGGTAAGATGAGGCCTGAGAACTGACCATAGGATTTAGCAATGTAAAGTCATTGGTGACTTTGACAGGAGCAGTTTCGGTGGAGTGGTAGAGGCAAAAGGCAGGTATGAGCAAGGGAGAGACCAACGACCCTGCTCCTGAGCAAGAGTGGCCCTGAGCAAGAGTATGAGCAAGGGAGAGAGCAACGACCACTCTCTTGAAGAGTCTGCTGAAAGAGAAGAGAGAATTAGGGTAGTGACCAGAGGGGGAAGTACAGTCAAGGGAGAATTTTTTGAATGACAGAAATAATGGTATGTTTGTTATGCAGATGGGAAAGACCAAATCAAAAGGGAGAAGCTGATAATGCAGAAGAGAGAAAGGAGAATTTTGGGAGCACTATTCCTGAGCAGGAAAGAAGAAATATGTGTCACGCATAAGACACAGATCTTGCCTGCTGTGTGAACAGTTCACCGACAGTTACAAGAGAGAAGGTAGAATAAATGGGTGGAGATTGTAGGTAGAGAGATACAGTGATGGAAGCATGTTTTCTCTGGATGCTTCTAATTTCTCAGTGAAACCGGAAGCAAGGTCATCAGCGGAGAGAAGGTGGTGCTAGGGGTTTGAGGAGAGAGGACCAGGAATAAAACAACCACCTAGTAGAGCAGGATGTGAGTGGTGTAGGGAACTGCAGGATGCCTGCTGGCCAGTATCTCAGTCCCACTTGAGGATGGTGATCATGACTTTAAAGTGAGGCTGGACAGCGTGGTAGTGTTTTTCTCCAGCTGGGTTCAGCTGCACAAGCGTACAGGGGGAAATGGGCAGAGATTTGGATTTAGCCAAGACTGTGCTCGATCTCTGACAGTTTACTTTCCTGCTCCCTCTTTCCTTTCAGTTCTTTCTCTTGGTGGATATTAACTTAATTAAATTAAGGGTGCATACGAGAGTGCTCACCCCCTGGGCTGTACAGCAATGGGATTGAGAACCGGCCAGAGATAGTGCGCAGCCTGGCTGTATTAGTCAGGGTCCAATCAGGAATTTAGCACTTGCCAGGGGGCTCGACAGAGGGAGTTTAACACAGGGAACTTGTTACAGAGGTGTTAGAAGAGCTAAAAAAAAAAAAAAAACACACAAAAAAACAAATAGAATAGTGAGGGCTGATTAGCAGGATCTGTAACCATGGAGACACAGCCACTACCTGAGTTGCCTCCAAAAGCAAAGAGGAGAGATATCTCGACTTCTCCCTACTTCCCACCTTCCAATCTCTGGTAAAACTACTCTAGGCCTTGACATCTTCCTGGATATCACCTCTACCTACTGGCTTTGATGGAATCCTGTCTGTCCTTGGGGAAGATGCTGTTTCCCACCCCTGTCCTCCACAGGCACCACTGTTTTCACGGACTTATTCACCATGCCCCTCTCGCCAGCTGGCTCACGCCTTCCTTTTGCCCTAGCCTGATGCCACCCCGGTACCCGTTTTCCACCAGCAGCTGAGCCTTCAGCGTGCTCGCCCACATGCGCTTTGTCAATTTGCTTTCCTGATCCTCACAGTGACTTACTCAATTCATTGTCCTTCGTCTATAACTTTCCCCTCTTTGATGGTCTTGCCTCCTATTTCACTGAGGAAGTCCAGGCACTCTTGGATGAATCCCCTCAACTTCCCAAACTGTTCTGCCCCCCTCCCCTGCCCACTCCTTCCTTTTTGCCTTAGAATCATGCTCATGCTCTCCCATGAGACTCCTGTCTCCAAAGTGCTCTTGCTCCATCTCTAAGACCAGATGGCTGTTCTGTTGGACGACACCTCTCTCTCCCCTAGAGTTTCAGCCTCTCTCCACTGGCTCCTCCCAAAGCAATTTATAAATATACCCAAACCTTTTCCTTTAAATAACATTTCAACAACAAAATTCCTAGAAAGAATAATCTAGTTTCCCTTTGTCATTCCCACTCATTTTTTTAATCCACTGTAATCTCGATTTTGCTTCTACTTCCTAGCAAAGGATACTACCACCTTCTTCATGGCTGAATCCCAAGGCCTCTTTTTACCTTTCATCTGCTTGCCTTCTCTTAGCATTTGACACGGCTGAGCTCACCCTTGTAAGGACTGTCACTCCTGTTCTGTTTTGGTTTCCTTAGTGGGTCTTTGGTCCTCTGCCCCAACCTTAAGCCTTAGTGTGACCAGTGGTTCTATCTCTGACCCTTTCACCGTCCTTCCTTCCTCTCTCCTCTTCTCACTGTCTCTCCCCTCTCGTCCTCCTCACTTTCACTCTGCATAATCCACTCCCAGGAGTTCCATGTCAGTTTTCATACTGATGACTTACAAATGAAATTAGTCACTTAACGATGTTGAGCTCCAAATCACAATTTCCAGGTTCCTGCTGGTGCTCGTCACGTGATGAAAGGTCCATGGACACTTCAAGCTCAATGCATGTGAAACTGAACTCATTACTTCCGCTCACCTCAAACCTGCTCCTTTATATTCCCAATATGCCACCTGGAACCACCAGGCCAGAAACTGGGAGTCACTCTTGAAGGCTCCCCTTCACAGATCCACTGTCTACAAGTAGTGGTGAAGTCCTGCACTCTATTGTTTGTAACACTTTCTGTATCTTTCATCTTCATGGCTCTGGGCCCCACCAGGTCCTTACTCTCTAGTTTGGAGCCCTGCAGGGATCTCCTAACAAGAGCCCCCACCCTTAGTCTTGCTGACCTCTTACTGCCACCAGGGTCATCTTTCTAAAAAAACAAAACAAAATACCAAAACTTTATGTCATTCTCTAGTTCAAACTCTGTTAAGGCTCCCTGTTGTCTATAAGATAAAGTTCAAACACCACAGCAGGGCTTATGAAACATTTCGTGACCTGCCTCTGTCCCTGCCCCTGTCCCCTGCCCCCTTCCCCTTACGTAAATTCCTGTCCCACTCAACCCCTTGCTATTTTCCAAGATCACTGTGCTCTTTCACTCTTCTGTGCCTTTGCTCTTACTATTCCCTCTTCCTGGAGTATCCCCGGTCCGCTGCCTTCCTAGAGAACACCGCTTAACTTTTGAGACTCAGTTTAAGAATAGCTTCCTCTAGAAAGCCATTTTTGATCACTTTCATGGAGTAAAATTGACCTCTTTTCCTCGTGTCTGCACTGCACCCATGATAGGAGCCAGGGTGGAGGGGGGAACTGATGGGGCATCCTGTGCACTCAGCTCCTGGCCCACAGTTGTGTATCCCAAGACCAGGGGGCCTCTCTTTTCATTGCTGTGAGCTCAGTGCCTCACTTCGCGCCTGTGCCTGGCAGGGGCTCAGTGACTCTCTTCCGTTGGCGCTGCCTGGGAAGGTGGGTGTGTGGGAGGCCCTGGAAGGACTTTGATTTCCAACCACAGAAGGGTCTTGGGCTGAGAATGGGGCTGTGAAACTTTATTTGCTCATAGGAAAGGGCCCCCTCCCTCACCTCCTCAGTGGCTTCCCTGGGGAGCCCTCCCTGTCCTGCAGTGGGTCCCAGGCAGGCAGCACAGTCAGGGGTAGGCTCTTCTGAAGGCAGAGTGTCTGTTACTCCTGTTCCAGCTGCAGCTGAAGGAAAACACCTGCAAGAAAAGGGCAACACCGGGCGGCGGGGATGAGGACAGAGATGGCAGGAGGTTGGTGTGGCACCCTGAGCATTCGCATTCAGTTCCCCAGCACCTGGATCCTGTCCTGTGGTACAAGTTGGGCAACTCACACATAGGAAAAAAAAAATCCTAGTTGATCTTTCCTCTCACTTTGCCCTTTCTACAGCAGGCACCCAATCCCGGGTTGAAAAGCTGGACCCCAGCTCGGGACTGGATCTTTAGTATTCTGTCCTCCATTTGTTCTGGGGCTGGTGGTGGCAGGACAGGGCCTGGGGCTGAAGGACCTCTTTACCTGAGGACTTGGCATAGATTGTCTTCTGGTCTCTGCTCTGGGTGATGCAAGACATGTAAAGCTTCTGGTCCTCAATCTTTTCCACGTCAATGTTTAGTACAGCCAGAGAGCCCACGGGGATCAAGCTGAGGGAGGAGGTGGCTTAGCGCATCCTTTACATGAAGCCCTGGCCCTCATCCCTTCTCCCCATTCGTCCCCCATCATTCTCCTCATGCCATACTCCCTCAAGGACTTAAGTGGCTCTGGGCACAGAGCCTGCCTGCCAGCTTCCAGAACTGGGGAAGAGAGACAGGCAGGGCTCCTGTACCCCAACTGCCCGGGACAGCTAGCCCCCATGATGAAAAGGGCCATGACTTTGGCCAACACCATGAGGATCTGTACTTACTTTTTGAACCTGATGTTGAGGCTTAGTGTGAACAGCCCTTCTCCAGCCAGGTAGGCAGTTTTAGAAAAGGTCTCGTCCATCATGGCTGCCAGGGACCCTCCGTGGGCAAACCTGGGGTAGGGGCAGGGAGCAAGGCCAGCCTGCAGTGCTGGGCAGACGGGGTTCCCTGGGCCCCCCGCACCCCCCGCCCACCCTGAGGTAGAACCACCCTGCCTCTGCCTTTCCCAGGACAAGAAAGGAAACAGAGCTGGATCCCATCTAATCAAATCAGTCAAAATCAACTGTTGCTTCAGCATGTGTTAGTGACCAGTGGTATAATTATTTTATTTCACCAGGAAAAAAGTTTTTTTTCCCCTGATAGAGTTAATAGGAACACATTTTTCTGATTCATCACCTAATTGCTGGCATCCATTGCCAGAATTTGAGAGGTGCACTTACACAATGGATGGAAAAGCCCCTAGACTTTTTTGGCTTAGTGTCTGAGGAATGGGCCAGCCCCACCTTCCCAGCCACTAGGGCCAGTGCTGAGCCCACATTTAAAAAGTATGTATGTATGTATGTATGTATGTATGTATTAATTTATTTTTTAGAGACAGGGGAAGGGAGAGAGAAAAGAGGGAGAGAAACATCCATGTGAGAGAGAAACATCAAAACATCGATCCGATTGGTTGCCTCTCTTACATGCCCCCAAATTGGACCAGTGACCTTTTGATTGTTGGGAAGATGCCAAATCAACTGAGCCATGCTGGCCAGGGCCTGAGCCCATGTTTTCAAGACAGGTAACTGTGAAAGCTAGCTTATGACCCAAACTTACGACATAGAGTGCCGATAAGACGGACTCCTGAGCAGCGCTGCCTGGGGAAGCCCAGGGCCCCCTCAGCAGGACGCGGCCCCCATCTGCTTTATTTAAAGTGTGGAAAGCTCTCGTTCTCTGTGGAAGCCGGCCTTTATGCCAGTGCTACTTCATTGTTGGTTACGTTGGGGAACACGGAAAGGCACCCGACTTTAGAATGCAGGTAACACAAAACAGATTTGAGTTTCTGATGTTCGAAAGCACAATTCCAATTTTCCAATGACTGGGTCACCTGTTCTGGCTGTACCACATGGGTTACCCGTCTGCTCCCCTCAGCAGCAGCCTTGCCATGGAGCCACACCCACCTGGTGTGACTCCTGTTTGATCTGGAGCAAGTTGCTAAACCTTTCTGAGCCCTAGTTTTCCACTATGAATTGTAGGAAAAAAAATTTTATTAGAATAGTTGAGATAATGTTTTCAAACCTCATATGCACTTCTAGTCACTTCCCTCCCCACACTGCTTGAAAGGGGAAGAAAGGAGTTCGTGTCAAAGAGCATAAACCTGCTGCTCTTCCCTCGCTGTCCTCACTGGCCAGGAGGGACCATCAGCAAGTGCCTCGATTCTGTGGGATAACTCTTGGCCGGCCAGTAACCTCCCTCTCCTCATTGCCTATGGGCTGGGTGAGTACTTGTGAGACAATAGAAAACTTATAGATTGGTCTCTGCCCCAGTTCCTGGCACAGAGCTCCTGAAACCCATGTAATTTCCAGGTGGATAGGAATCTCTTGTTAGACAGGTGGCTCCTGGATGGAGCCGGCCACCAGAAAGATCAAGCCATGATTAGAAGCTTGGAATTTTCTGCCCTGCCCCCACCCTAATTTTCTTGAGAAGGGAGAAGGACTGGAAATGGAGTTAATGATGAATCATGTCTACATGATGAAGCCTCCACAGACTCCCGAAAGTACGGAGTTCAGAGGGATTCCAGGTTGGCAAACACATTCACCCCAATTCCACCAAGACAGAAGCTCCTGTGCTCAGGACCCTCTCAGACCTTACCCCACACATCTCTTCATTTGGATGTTCACCCGTATCCTTATCAAATCCTTTAATAAACTGGTAAGCGTGTTTCCCTGAGTTCTCTCAGTCACTCTAGCAAATCACTTGAACCCGAGGAAGGGTTGTGGTAACTTCAGATTTGTAGCCAAATCAGAAGTTGTGAGTAACCTGGGGACCTACTACTTGTGATTGGCGCCTGAAGGGAGGGCTGTCTTTTGGGACTGAGGCCTTAACCTGCGGGATATGACACTCTTTCCAGGTAGATGGTATTGGAATTGAATTAAATTGTAGGACACCTTGCTGGTGTCCCAGAGTATTGCTTGGTGTGGGGAAAAACCTCCACATATTTGGTGACTAGAAGTGTTATAAGTGGAGTGTTCTGTGTGAGTAGCACAGGAGACGCACAGGAAAGAAAGACATAGCAGGGAAGAACTGGGCTTTTCCCTGCGCAGGAGGTAGATTGAACTGGGTTTTTCTAATTCAGTAGTAACCTTGTCTCTGGACCCCCTCAGTACACTGACCTCAGCGTGGGATGGTCCTCCTCTGCTTCTCCTGCCCCACCTCCACGAGCTTCTACATAAAAGCCAGCCACACGTCACCCCGACCCCTCCTCGTTGAGGTTTTCCTCTTCAGAAGGGAGGGGATCCCGGACCTGGGCAGGGCTCTGACTTCGTGCTGTGGGGTCTGCATGTGCTAGTGTGGAAATCAGTGTCTCCATGGGAGGTGCCTTTGGGACGCCGTGGTGACCAAGGGCTGCAGTCTGAATCCGCCAGCTGTGGAGGGCTGACATCTACTAAACTCTCTGAATTCTTTTTAACTACAGTTGGGTCCTTCTCAGGCCATGGGACCCTGAAGCTCCTTCTTATCCCCTCCTTTCTCTCTCTCTCCCTTGCAGGAATTCCATCACCCCCAACAACCTCCAGTGACTGTCCAAAGCAGGATCAGGGATGGAGGAGAATATAGAAAATTACGGACTGGGTAGTTCACTGGCAAGAGGCTCAGGGACAGCCTGGTTTAAAAAATATGTATGTATATTTTAAATCCTTACCCAAGAATATGTTTATTGATTTGAGAGAGAGAGAGACAGAGATAGAGAGAGACATCGATGTGAGAGTGAAACATCAACCCATAGCCTCCTGTACAAACCCTGACCAAGGGCTGAACATGCAAACCTGATACGTGCCCTGACCGGGAATTGAATCCAGAACCTTTTGGTACATGAAACAATGCTCCAACCGAGCCACTCGGCCAAGGTCAGCCTGATTATCCTTGTGGATGTATTTATGTCCAGAGTGAGTTCTTCCCTGGCTCTCCTCCAAGTTTGGAGGCAGCAGAGTACAGTAGAGAAAGCAGTGGACCTGGAGCCCCACTTCCTGGACTAGAGTCCTGAATCTGACCTTGATTGCATTGTGCTACCTTGGGCAAGTTACCTTACCTCTGTGTGCCTCAGTTTTCCCGTGGGTAAAACATGAAGTGTGGATAGATGGTGCGTGATAACTCTATTGTGCTTTATGGTTGATGAGCACGTAGGCCCATGCTATACCTATCAGCCACTCTGGTAGGTAGGTATTATTGCCCCAGGTTTTAGGTTAGGAGAGACTGAAAGCCAGAGGTTATATTGCTTGCTTGGGGTTACAAAGCCAGCAGCTGCAGAGCAGGACTGGGGGGCCTGGCCCCTCATTCCAGATCTTGTCCTCTTCGAAGTTCACCATACCCCTCTCAAAGTGGCCTCTAAAACCCCTTCTTACTGGAAAATCCCCACACTTGGTATGGAGGCTCTCCCTTATCTGCACAATGGGACTGGACTAAATGACGCGAATGTCCTTCCAGTCCAGCGTGCCCCCCACCCAGCTCCTTAGGGAGAGGTACGGTCCCCAGGGCCTGGTGTGCGCCTGACCCGCCTGCGGAGCCGAGCCTAGGAGCAGCCAAGGACGTCCACCTCGGCCCTGTCTGTAGTCTTACCCTGGAGCCCCCTCCAAGTAGGGGCCTGGTTGGAAAAGACAGACGGACTTCTTCTCTGATGGGTGAAAAAAGATGACATACTCGTAGCCTTGTCCTTCCACCAGGATGCACCTGGTGAAGATGCGCCAGTCGCTTTTGTCTGGGGAGAGAGAGGCAGTGTAGCAGCTGGAGAAGGGAGTGCATAAGGGCAAGGGGCTGGCGCAAGATGGAGTGACATGGGGTTGAGGCCTGAGGTCCCAAGGCCTGAGTCATTCAGCACCATGGGGTTGAGGCCTGAGTCAGGTACAGGGTCAAGGAGAGAGCCAGAGGACACTCAGGCTCCACACTCAGGAGTCTTCAAGCAGAGACCAGAGGCGCAGCCATGTCCCCAGGGAGCCCTTGGTCTGGAGGGAGAAACACTCGGGAAGTTCCCTGGCTAGGGGTGGGCATAGGGTCAGGGTCAGGTCAAGACTTTAACAGGCTCTAAACACTGAAAATTAAAAATGCAACTCATGTAATTCATGTATAATAATTCAAAATAACAACAATACTAAACAGCAAAATAAGTGCAGGAAAGGTCACCAAAATTCTGATTTTTTCCCCAAGACAACTATAACTATATCCTTTTTGGATCGATACCAACTTGTTTTTAAAATTATTTTGGTGCCCCTGCTTTGTTTGTGCCATAAATCTAAGGGTAGTCTGTGTACTGTACCATCCATTCATTACTGGGCAAGAAAGACATAAACATGAATGAGAAAGACAAGAAAACATGCACGCACCCAGGCACATGCACAGGTACAAGCAGAAAGATGGAGGTGGAAAGCTCTGTCAGTCAGATCGGGGCGTATTTCAGGAGAGCCGGTCTGGGCCCAGCAGAGCATGGATCGTGGGCCAGGCCTGCGGCGGACACGGGGCCAGAGCCTGTGGGTTAGGGGAGAAGGATCTGGTATGAGGCCGTAGGGCAGAGGGCTGAGCTGGCAGCTCTCCTGTGCGGCCCCTAGGGCGAGCTCTTTTCAGATGGGAGGAGGGGACCCAGAGAACCAGAGAATCCTCTTATGCACCTGGCGGGGGCTGCAGCGTGAGGGGTGGAGTTAGCCAAAAGAACTTCTGGTTGAGAGATGGGAGCTTGTGAGTTTCCTTCCCCAGCGTCTTTGAACACAGGGAAAGGGGCTGGCTGAACTGGTCCTGGTGGGCTGGGGCAGCTGTGCTGGTGAACCCTCTCAGGCCAGGCCTTACCCGAGGTAACTGCTAACCCGGATGGGAGCTTGAGCCCCTGGATGTGATCTCTGTTGGACTTGAAGGAGGGCAGTTTGATCCAGCCATCAGCCTTAGTCTTCTCCAGATATTCCTGGTACAGGCTCAGCATGTCCGGACACCAGCTGGCATTGGGAAGGGCATAATCTTTGAAATCTGTCTTCTCTGGGCAGAATCTTGAGACCTGGGTAAGAAAAATCAGGGAGATTAGACTAGTGTGCTCTTGCATTCTTGGGTTCCTTAATTCTGTCCACTAGTGTTCACCTGAGGGAAATGACCCACCTTCCTTGCAGAGGGTTTGCATAACTGGGCAAGGAGACCCTAAAGCAAGGGAAGGGAAGAAGTAAACAAAGTAAGGAAAGAAAAGGAATTGGGGTTGACAATTAGGGGCATGCTGCTTGTGGTTTATCCTGTTTTAAAACCCGTGAGCTGCCCTAGCTAGTGTGGCTCAGTGGATTGAGCGCTGGCCTGTGAACCAAAGGGTTGCTGGTTCGATTCCCGATGTTGGACACATGCCTGGGGTTGCAGACCATGTCCTCAGTAGGTGCAAGATGCAACCACACATTGATGTTTCTCTTCCTCTCTCCCTCCGTTCTCTATTAAAAAAACAAAAAACCCTGTGAGCTGTTAAAGAACCTGTGAGCTGCTCTTTGAGGCTGTGAATTGCCAGTATTAGCTCCACTGTAGAGATAGGGAAACTGAGGAAGTGTGTGAGAGCTGATGGTCAGACTAGAGCCCTTTCTGAGAGACTCTCTTCCTTAAGGGGCTGACCACAGCTGGTGAGGACCATGGTTACCACGTCTCACCCCAGAACTACCCCAGCTCTGTCCGGAGCTGTGGGCCTGCTCCGCCAGAGTGGCTCCTTTGAAATATGTTTTGAGTGTCTAGGTGGCGTGGTACAACCTGTGGGACGAGGGGGTTCCCTATGGCACCAAATGCTTATGCACCAATCACAGCTGTGGGCAGCGAGCCAGGGGCCTGCCAAGATCCGCACAGGGTCCTCCCTCGGGGATGCCGCAGCTCAGCTGCAGCAGGAGGAGAGCGATTCACTGGGTGGCTACACAGAATTCAGACCAGGAAGACAGTGTTCTTGTGGTCTTAGTTTTGGCTCTAGGATACTTGGTATCCCAAGAGCATCTTCCCTTTGCCAAATCAAATAGCTCCCCAACACCTGTCCACCTGCCCTGGCCACAGTCTAGGGAGAGAAGACTTGGGGCGCTCCTTATGCCCTAGGCCCCCAGGAGAAGGGCTGTCCATCGCGCTGAGCTGGGAACTCACCAGGGAGTCTGTGGAGGATCCAAATGCTGAGGCAGGGCTGAGTCTGGGCAGGATGGGGGCGGCACCAGGAAGGGCTCTGTGGTGGCTCAGTCTTGCTGCCCCTTGGAGTCCTCTTCTTATCATGGCTGAGCACTAGGATCCGGTCAGCAGGGCTGCTGGCTGACTCTTGAGGAAGGAGCAGGTGAGAGCCCTTTTCAGCTGCACCGTGGGGCCGTTGCAGCCAGCTCCCAGACAGGCCTCTCTCCTTTCTGTCACAAAGCTTTCATCAGCAACCTTTTACTGCAGGTGATCAGACAAGACCAGATTGGTTTGAGAAACACCCATAGGTGCTTGGAGCCTTAGCCCCACCCAGGGCTTGGGGAGGGGCAGATGCTGCTTGGGCATGAACGCATACCAGGGCTGGCTCGAGTCCAGAAAGAAGTATTTGTTAAAGACGCAAAAAAATGTACAGAGAAATAGTATAGGGTACATGGAGGCTTGGAGAGTTGCCCTGGAGTTTTGGGGGGAGAGCCCAAGAGAATTCACAGAAAGATAAAGGAGGGCTGACTCTTGACTGTAGGGTGTCAGTGGCGTGTCTGTGTATGTTAGTGTGTGCTCTGAAACCTTTGTCATCATTCTGGGACTTGGAAAACCAACACAGAGCCCTTAGGCACCCCCTTCTTTTATCCCAGGCAAGGGGTAGCACAGGGAAGCCCCTACCTGCTGGTCCCCAGCAGGGGTAGGTGGGGAGGGGAAGGACTTGGAGGGGAGGACAGAAAATCCTGTGGGAAAAAGCAGCTTAGCAAGGGCATGCTGGCGCTTCGGGAGCTCTGGGGTGGGCGCGGGGCCGGGGGAGGGGATGCTGGTGGCAGAAAGTGCTGGGGGTGGGTGGGGAGCGGGGAGATGGGCAGTGGAAACCTTGTCACGGCTAAGCCTGGAAAACAGGTGGGTTTGAGTTGGGAGGCAGGCAGTGCTCAGCCAGCGTCTGCTTGGTTGTGGACATTTTTGGTGGTGTTTATTCTTTGGAGTTAAAGCTGCCAGTTTTCAATTAGAAGTCCCAGTTTCTAGTTCACTAGAATAAAGCATATTCTAAAGGTCAGAACTGTGTGAATGTTGAATTATAAGAATAATTATAATTATTGTGAAATAATACAAAATATACTAGTCTTTGCCCCTCGTTCATGGCATAGAACTCCTAAATCGCTTAGAATTTCCTGGGTAATAGGAGTGTCTTTTGTTCTAATGAGAGGACTCTGGGTTGGGAGGGGCTCCTGGATGAAGCTGGTCGCCACAAAGACCAAGCCATGATCAGAAACTCGGAATTTCTAGTTTCACTTCCTGGGCTTCAGGAAGGGGAGAGGGACTGAAGACTGAGTTAATGATTGGTCATGTCTCTGTGATGAAGCCTCCACAAAATCCCAAAAGTATGGGGTTTGCAGAGCTTCCAGGTACGCAAACCGCAGCTTCTTGGAGACAGAAGCACCTGTGCTCGGGAACCTCCCACAGCACAGCCTAGGTACCTCTTCACCTGGATGTCCATCTGTATCCTTTATTGTAACCTTTATTATATAATAAACTGGTAAACAGGTGTGTTTCCCTGAGTTCTGGGAGCTGTTCTAGCAAATGACTGGATCCAAGGAGGGGGATGGGAGGAACCTCTGCTTTGTAGCCAAGTCAGACAGATGACGGAGAATCACTTGGTGTGGGGGAATAACCCCACATCTGCTGTCAGAAGTGTTGTGTGGAGAGTGAAGAAGAAACACAGAGAATTTTTCTTATAGATGCCCTCCCACTTCAGTTGTTTCACAATTTTTGGAAAATCAACTTTCAAATATTTACATCATCATAATTATGTACATTTTGCCTTGGGCCTTAGCGCATGTTATAGTTATATTTCCTTTCTTGTGTAACTCTTATTTTCTTTGAGTTGATAATTACCAAGGTGTGGCTGGATACTGTGGCCTGGGAAAATACAGGGGAATTGAAGGAGTTGACCGGTGGTTGAGACAATCAATCAACCATCATCTCCCAGGTTGGGAGGGAAGACAGTCTAAGAGAGAGAAAGGAAAAGAAATGAAGATCTGGCCAGATGTGTGATATTTAAGAGTGGACATAATGTGTCCAAGAGTATGGCCAATTGAAGGTAATTAAAAAAGATATCTGAGGAGAACATTGATAGTGTTGGCAAAACCATGGTGAGGCCCTGAGTTTGGGGGGCTGGAGTAGAATGGAAGAGGCTGGCTAGGGCCATCTTGAAAAAGAAACACTAGAACTGTGGAGAAAGCACTCCTTTTCCCCTTTCTGATTCTTTTCCCACGGTTTCACAGATCTTGTGGATTATTCCTGCAACAGTGTGCCATTTCTAGATGTGGACTGGGAGGCCCGGTGTCCAGAAAGGTGGGAAAGTGCTGGCTAGTGCCTTGAGTGGCTTCTGTGGCATGAGCTTTGGCCCCAGCCTTTCTTATTCTGTGAATTCAGCTTAGAGAGATCAAAGACAACCAGGTCGGAGAAAAGAAAGTGTCTCCCCAGATCTGGACTCTCTGGAAAAACATTTAGAAAAGCGGGGGCGGGGCAAAGGGGGGCAGCCTTGTTGCCTGCCTGGTCCATTTCCAGTTTGGGATCCGTGGGGCAATGTTGAGTTTGGGGGCTTCTCTTACTGAGATATTACTTATCTCCAGAATCACATCCTGGATCTGACCTGCCAGGTGGTGCACAGGAGAACCAGCAGTGATGTGCTGGTAAATGACTAACAACCAACTCTTGGCAGGGCGGAAGCTCTAGTTGGTAGCATTTGACAATTTCTGCAGTGTAAACATTCCCAGAGTGGCTGATTTCAAGCTACCAATATGAAGCCACTGACCCTCACTGTGAAGTTGGGAAGAGATGTGCACAATTGGCTGCTGCAAGCTGGTAGGAACCTGCTCTGGCACATTACTGAACTAGAAATGTCTTTGGCATGGAGAGAAGCAACAGGAGTAACCAAGGCCTTGGTAGGTTCGGCAACACTTCTTGGTCCCAGGCCCTTTCTTCCTTTTATCAGGCTCCCAAATCTGAAGTCATGCCCGCTTCTTTCCTTAGAGTTTCCTTTCCTCACGAGGCTGAATATGCTGTAGCACTTGGTCTTCTCAGATTGTTCTGGACATGTGGTGGAGCTCCCCTGAGGTGGGCTGGCCTCCCTGCTGTGGTGGTGGGATTCCCAGCACTTCAAGGTGGTTCTGCTGGGATGGTCCCCGTCTGGAAGGAGATTCCACAGTGGCCCTCCCTAGATGTTACTGTTATTTTGTCCTCTCTGAACTCGATCCCTCTGGAAAGCTGGCCCTGGGGGCTCACCCAGGTGATTGCTGGAGGGCTCCCTGGCTGCCCATTTGCCTCTCAGTCCATGGCTGACCACTAGACTCTGCTCAGGCTGGGCCTGCCCTCAGGGAAACTTGGTTTCTTGATATTGTGAGCTAAGGTCAGTGGTCGGCTGGGCAGGGGCAGAGTGTGAGGGGCAAACTGGGGGCATGCAGAGCTGGCGGCCCTGGCTCGGTCTCACTCAGGAGCTGCCACGATGGAGGGTAGGCCCAGTGCCAGCTTCTCTAATTTTTCAAGAAAAGCCAGCACAAATCCAGACTTCTATGTGAACATTCTAACTTTTAGATGTTGCAACAGCTCTATAAAAAATATCACATGAACAAAGCAAACATCTCCGACTGGAGCTTGTCCTGCAGGCTGCTGATTGTGCCACGCGGTTCTAAGCTCATTCCTGGACCTGCCCTCCCATCACTCTTCCTGAGTCTGTTGCTTGTCTGCCCAGATCTAGTCTCTCTGCTCCCAGATCAGCTGTCTTTTCCTGGTTCCCTCTGGGAGGGACCTTCCTGAGATTCAATTTATAAACTCAATGCCCACAGTGGGCCCTTTGGAAAGGAATGTAACTCTCACGTGTTGAAGCCGATGAATCAGTCGGCCCTATGCCGCCTCAGGGTTTTGCTTCATCCAGTTTCTAAGGTTTTGGGTCTTGCTCGCATATGGGAAGTATTGATGGGGATGCTCGGGAAGGGCAGACACTGAGCCTCAGACTGTTACCAACAGGGGAAAAGGCTGTCTTCACCAAGCCTGGGGCACAGCGTGGAGGTAAAAAGTGTGGTCGCTAAGTGGTCTGCTCAGACGGGCCCTGGGTGGCTGGACTGGCGGCACGCCCGGCTGTGAGGGCAGGGCTGTGGCGGAGGACCGTATGTGGAGGGAGCTGGGAGCTGATGAGCAGATGCTGGCTCCAGGTGCCACTGCCAGGTGTGATCACTGGGCTGATGCACAGGGACAGAGAATGTGCCAGGAGCGAGGGGAACCTGAGATGCTCCCGGACATGGGAGAGCCGCTACCACAGCTCAGCTGGAACTGAGTTCTTATTTGTGAACCCCCAAGGGGCAGAGGCAGGACCTCTAAGCTCAGAAAGTGACAAATCCTGAATGGTGTGTGTGCGCACACTCAGGGTGGGGCTCATAGGCCCTGGCCAGGCCTGAAATCCCCTTTTCCTCAAACCCAGACAATCGTTTAAGAGGTGGTTTTTCCAAACCAGTGGGAAGGCCACATGATGCCACTGGCACATCTGCTTTACCAGTGTTGGGTACAAAGTAAGGTCGCATTCCTTTAAAAAGCATATTGAATGACTAATACCTGCCCCATGATATCCTGAGCCTCTTTTCCCCTGGAAACTCTGAAATGGGGGTGTCACTAACTGTTAAATCACCTTGGGGACAAAGCTTACCAACCCTCCAAGTAGGGTGATGGAGACCCAGCTGCTGCTGGGTGCCCGGAGCCCCTGTCCCCTTTCCTCAGGGCCAGGGGCATCCTGGGGGTGGAGTGTGTGTCCACACAGGATAATCAGATGGTACAGAGCCAAGTTCTGTGGCCCTGATGGGGCATCACCACTCCTGCAGGTGAGTTACAGGAGGGGCTCTGGCGCGGTGAGGGCCTGTGACGGCAAGTCCTCCTCAGGCTGAAGGAGGCGCCACCAGGCCTTGAGAGCAGGTGGAGGAAGATGCTCTTTTGGTGATTCACCTCACAAGTGGCTCCTTGGAGGAGCCTGAACCCTGTCCCTCCTGGAGGAGCCACCCAGGGCTCTCCCACCTTCAGCCCCCAAGCTAGGAGCCCTCTCCTTTTTGGGGCAATTTCTCGCTGTAGCTACCCTTCTCTACCTCCTGTCTCCCCAGCCAGTCCTCAGACCTCCACTTAGTGGCGTGGGGGAGGCCACTTTACTTCTCCAAA